TTTTTTTTTTTTTTTTTTGGCGTTGTGCAGCCCAGGAAGCTCCCGCCAATTGCCGTCTCGCCGTGGCATGTGATAGATGGACGCAGCTATGCTGCCTGGCAAAGTAGCAGAGTTTCAACCGACGTGAGTGTGACATGAGCGATGTATGGCGATTTGGTGCAGCGCATAGAGCATGCAGACGAGCAATTCGCGACTTCGGTTCTGAGTGTTTTCTTGCCAGGGGCTCTGCATTCGCAGGCTGGACTTGCATATGGTGTGAAGTTCGACCTTTTGTCGTCGATGCCATCGGCAAGATCTGACTCACAATTTGTCACTTGGCAGCTTCCCTTTCCAAACACTACATGCTCACAACCACCAACAAGCGAGAAACGTGCAATGCAACAGATCAGGTTCTCAGTGTCCTCTTCATGGCCTCAAACGCCCTCAGTGCCCTGCTACTATTGAATGTCTGCTACAACCGGGCCAAGGCTTCATGGGCTGTTTAAGGGAAATTGCCTCGTAAGAAAGTGACTGACCGAAAAATCAGATCTGTTCAGACTGCTAGCAGCAGATAGAAAATAGGTGTCTAATGGTTGACAGTTTGAAAAGAAGCTTGCGTTCATGTTCGCATATTGCTTTCGTCATCTTGCATGAGTCAGGTAGCCCTTTATTTGCAGTACACAACCGGCAGGAACTGACAACTTCTCAGCTTCGTGTCGCGCGCTGCTTGCCTTCTAGTGGTATCATGACAGTTCATGCGCGTAAGATTTTGGATCTCCATTTGAGGTGTCCTTGCCGTGTTTGTGTTCTCGATGTTCGTCAACTGCCATTTGTTGGCCATCCTTGTGGCTGCAGGCTTCGTGCACGGAATTTTTGGCGCGTGTGTGCTTGCTTCAGCTGGCATCATCAAGCCTGCAGGATATGGCCCTCCTTCACTACCGTCACGAGCTGAAACTCTTTTCTTTGTTGCCTTGCTCGCTTGCATGTTATGTCCTGAAGTCCTGTGGCCAGCCGCATGCGAGGCTGGACATCTTCCATGTGGCACAAGGTCACCTGCGTAACCAGTGTTTCATGCTTTCATGTCAAATGCTTGAGTCTCTCTGCTAACAAGCCTAGATTTGACAGGACTGATCATTGGCGTATCGTTCAGTCTACTACTGGAAGTGCTTCTCGAGGACAAGCCTAAGGACATGTAATCTATGTAATCATGCCGGCCTGGAAACGTCCAGTGTCCAGCTCATGGTCAGTTGGCGGCATGGGCGCTGATGCTCCGCACCGATTCTCCTCAGCGCCTCAAAGAGGCTACATCCTGCTCAATTCACCAATGACGGTGGAGCATGTGATATCCCACTGCTGTTTTCCAAAGTCGGGAGTTTCTCTAACTGAAGTCGAGAGAATTTTGACTTTCGTAGTTGCCGATCCTTTTGGAAGTCTTGTGTGGATACCTGATCGCGACATGCCGTTGGAGAAAACTCTCTGTTTGTAAACATTTTGGCACGAGCATTTGGAGACGACAGGCCACAGTGCCTAAAGCTTTTGGCCTTTTGGGAGGCTCCAGTGTCCGCAATTAGACTCTGCCTGTCGAAGCATAATGATGCTGGCCGGGCGGCAGAAGTGAAGCGAAGCCTAAGCGACGTGAAGGCAAAGAGCGAGACACGAAATCCTTAACGGTTGGGAGACTTGTTCTAGCAAGTGGTTCGAGCTAGGTCCCAGGTATTTGTCACTTCTCTGTGATTCAGTCTCTTGTTGCTGAGGCCACAATGACCACTATTGGCTTTTTGACCAAGGCAATGTGAATGCCCACAGCTCGGATTCCCCACATCCTCACCGGTTGGTTCTGTTGCTGGTATCTTTGAGTCTTGAGCTTGCTGTTCCATTCGCCTTTGCATTCCTTCTCTCTTGCTTCTTGGTGTCGAGGGTGTGGTTTGTCTTGTGCCTGAGCTCCAGGCTAAAGATCGCGAGTTGCAGGGAAAGAGTGTGGTGCAGACCTCGGTGCAAAGCTCTCCATCCACGACCATTTCACCTGGCAGTGCTATTTGAAACCCTTTTCCCTTTCTTCTTTCTTCCCTTTGACTCTGCTCTGAGCTGGGGAGTTCGTCTGGAGGAAGAGTGTTCTGGGCACCAACATTCCCTAAGTCAAGCAACCAGTGTTGAAAGAGTCATAAAAAGCTCTCTTACAGACGCTGCAGAAGCAAACCCTGCCCGCTCTGAAGTTCAGCTTTCTGCCTTGATACAACTCTGCACGCGGCAGATCGCGGCAGGTCTGGGAGGAGCTGTCGTTGTTTGCAGACGAGATCCACGGAGATGCCTCGCAGGACACCCCTGTTGAAGGTGGCACCGAAGTGTCTGCAAACGGGGCTGACTCAGAAAAGCAGATCAGTTTGAAGGATGGAGAGGCGAATCTGGATGACATGAAGAACGATGTGCCGGGCACTTGCAGCCAGTTTGAATTCCGCAGCTAGTGTGTGCGTTCTTTAGATGTCTCCAAGCACCTAGGCTGCAGTGTCCAATTTGCCAGGGCCCTGCAGGGCTTGGCAGACAAAGCAGTGGCTACTGGACTTTGGAGAAAAAACCTCGCACTGATCAGGGGAAGCTGCAAAGTGTGGAGGTGACGGCTTCTGCTAGGGCTTTGTTTTGGGTCGACGGATCGAGATGCGGGTGAAATCGCGGAGCCGCCACGCAAGCCGCGTGATGCCAATTCAACCTAGGTCGGCATGCCTCTGTGCGCAAGGGGGTGTACCACGATCTAAACTGTGTGAGCACTGCGTGAATCGTGCAATGCAGTCTCGAGAAGAGTCCTCAGCAGTCTACTGACAACATGAGCATTGTGAAAACAGAGGTAGCTCCACATGGTTGTATTTGCACTGGCACGCATTTTTTTGACTTGCTGCAATAACTTGGAGTGCAGGTTGCAGGGAAGGATTTTGGTTTAGGGGATTGGATCCCTGCCACAGCGCTCCCCATCAGATATTTCATTAGGGGCCCTCAATGGTGGGATTTTTGGGCCTGGGGCGCTCTGGTGGGAGCTTTGGCGGGGCGGGTTGTTTAGAGCGTTTGTCAGGATACGAGAGGGTATACAAGGGTTTGAGCTTCACGGGTTCTATCAATAATGGTCTAACATGTCGAGGGCTGTTCCAGAAGGTACAATGAGGAATGCACACGGATTATCAAGGATTAACCGTTCATATGCCGGGAGCTAAAACCAAAGTTCGTTCAGCAATCTGTTTCGAGTCCTGCTCGAGGTCGTGTTACCGGCACCATGACTGGACAACTGAAGATCACATCAGGAGCGTCACATTAGGCATTGTTCAGGAACGAAGATACACAAGGCAGGCATCAAAATGACCTTGGACATGACAATCACAAGCAGAACTAGCCAAGGCTGCAATCATGTGCATAAAGCGTATGTCTCGAAATCCATGTTGCACGGTCATGTTTGCAACTGTCTAGAACTTTCCCGTGCTTTAAGGCCACGGGCTTCTCTCGGAGCCCGTTGCACCACCGTGCGGACACACTGCGTGCTTGCGCTGCCAGAGACTTTGTGAAGTGTAATTCCGCAGCTCAGCAGCCTGCAGGCTTGCTGCATCCGAGGCCTGACAAGAGCCGTCGATCTTCGCAGGGAATGTCTGAGACCTAGGGGACAGGGTGCCTATCTTGGAGAAAGACGGTGAGTGCCAAGGCAGTGTTGTCTGACCCTTGAACCCTTGAGAAGATCATCATGTAAGCCTTAACATCGAACATGTGCTGTTTCATTTGTGAGCTAGGGTATGTTTTCTTGCCTGTAGATTTTTGAGCTGCCCATGTACTGTTTGTGAAATCTTTGTGATCGTAACTGATCGCACGTCAAAGTGCATTGGTGCAAGGCCCTTACTGCCGCAAAGAGACGACCTGTGCAGATCTTGTCTCGAAGTTCTGAGCCCAGGTGTTGTTAGGGAGACATTCGCTTGTTTTTCCGGCTGGCTTATGTGAGGCCCGAGCTTGCCGATCAAGTCGTCGAGCACAAGAGGAAAAATCGGAAGCTTGAGCCCGACAGTTCGAAAAACGCAGTCTGAGCCATGTACTGGCTACCACTTTGCAGGCCACTAGTTGACACCACCATTTGGATGCTAGCTGTCAAGGGTTTATGTTGTGAGAATGACCTTGCAGAGGCTGCATCTGACATGATGCCTACAGACGCTTGGCTCAGAAACCAGGGCATGGGCACCTGATGCGTGAATCAAAGAAGTCTCGCAGACCCCAGACTCCAGCATGATGAGGCAGGGCACCCCACCAGGAAGTTGCAAATGACGGAGGTGCACCCCCAGCAGCCAAACGGGCAGGTCGTGAGCTTGCCCTATACCCAACAGACAAACCAACGCATGAGAAAGACGGTTCAGAAACACAAACACCAAGACAAAAAGAAATCGGAACGATTGGCAGTCTCTTTCGGAATATAGAACTAGCACTCCTGCGCGATATGGTGAGCTCGGATGAGCCGCCTCAAGCGTGCTGCGCGCCTAGCCAGATGAACACCCAAATTCCGTCGATGTACAAAACATTCCTGCCCAGAGGCCCGCTTGGCCAGCCATCAAAGTTGCCACCGCAGGCGGGTAAAGGCTGCAAAGCAGCACTCCTCGCGTTGGTTTCCAACTGTGAGTCATGCATGTTGAAAGCGCTTCCTTGTCCGTAGAATGCCCCCAGCGTGGTCGGGTGGGACATGAGTTAAAAGGTTACGTGCTGCCGTACATGAAGCTCAATTTTGGGTAGTCCCACTGTGTCAGATTTTCCTGCAGGAGAGTCTTTGGCGACTCAGGGAGGATCAGCAACCGGAGGTGGTGTTGTCTGAGTGGCTAAGCCCTTGTATCAATGTTTTGTCACAGGTGGTCCATACGGTGGATGAGTTCTTTGAAGTTTTGCAGATGCAGCGGCACTTGGGGCGCGTTGTTGCTTCATCCTCAGAGTCCCACCTTTGAGCAGTGCAGGCCGTGATAGAAGTTATGATCACAATCCAGGCACATGCGCACATGCGCACATGCTCAGTGTGGGAGGTGTTGCCCAACGGCATCGAGCTGCTTGGCCAGAGCAGCGCGCTGCCAGCACAGCCCTGACCCTAAGCGCAAGGAAGACCAACAAAGCTGTTCATAGCTTTTTTTGCATGAGAGTTTTGTGCATCAGGCTTCATCAAGCAGTGGCCGGGTCTCACAATGTTCGGGAAGTTCTAAAACGTCTTGGCACGCAAGCCTGGCACTTGGTCTGTGGCCTACAATTTTATGCCACGGAACTCCTCTACGTCAGGCCGCAGCAGGCTTCAGAGTCCTATTCTTAGCCGACAGACATTTTTGGATGGCAGTACTTCGGATGTGTTTGAAGATCTTTGAAGTCAGGCACCTCATGCTGTTAAGCAGTGGCTGCAGGACATTCGTCGTCAAACATTTCAACGACTTGCTTGAAGCCCGTTAGACCTCATTGAGTCCTCCTGTGACCTTGACTCTCAGCGTGGCATGGAAGTAATTCGCAACTCAGCTATACTATCAGTGGAAAATGCCAAGCGAACAGGCGTGAGGGGTCGAAGTGGGCGACATCTTCTGGCGGAATAAAGAGCCGCTATTTTCGCCCCACTAAGGCGCCAGCCCCACCATCAGCGACATGGCAACAAGAGCGCAGCCGCGATAAGCGAAAGGTTGGCCTCCCCCAAAACCCCATCAGCGCCCAACCCCAACCTCTTGACTTCGATTTTCAAAGTCTTAGGCAATGAGCACCAAACTCATTTCGCTGAACCTGAATACCAAGAGCATTTTGACTCAAAACCCCAAACCCTCAACCCCAAGCACTAACCCTGCCATGTCAAGGCTTCAGTCTGAGATCCCTAGACTTCAAAGAATGATGGGGAGATCCACAGAGCATCTGGCTCTGTGATAATGGATGAGATTTCCTTTTTCTGCGTCCAGGCAGTTGCAGGTAGTCAGAACACGAGCCTTCGGCAATCATGGAAACGTGCTCGGACTAAACGGCACACCTGGGAAGGTCACGTATGCCTACGATAGTCAATGGGCAGCACGTATGATGCAAGGCAAATGCCATCCAAATACAATGAGGCAATGGTCATATGGAAAAGCTTTGAATGTGTGAAGAAACATTTATGCCATGCTTGGACTGATGGCCTACACAGCATTGGATGATGCAAGAATTTACAAGCCAGTTAGCCAGCCTTAAAGCAGCTCCTGTTCAGACACGACCGTGACGCCATGCCTTGGCCAACTACCGTCCGGCAAGGGCTACAGCCACGAAACTGAAATAGCAATGGCTTAGCGATGATCACATTTCTTGGCTTTGGACAACGTTCGTCATGAATCCATGTATATATGTTTATATATGTTTATATGTGTCTATATATGTTTATATATGTTTATATATATGTATATATATGTATATATATATGTATATATAGACATATATGTACATATACATATACATATGTATGTATGTATGTATGTATGTATGTATGTATGTATGTATGTGTTTTAAAAATGTACTTCCCTGTGATTACTTAGGTGAGTCATGACATGCCAACTTATGTTTGCTCAAGACTTGATTGCGCCTGCGGCATAAAGGACTTGTGTTGATGCAGCTTGGGAACACTTAGGTGTGCCTTGTGTGTATCTACTTGGAAGACCTCAGTTACTTTTT